CTTTATTCAGTTTCTAAAAGAAATACCATTCCGAATCTCGCAATTTTCTACGCAGTTAGAGAAAGGTGTCCAAAAATCTTGTCGGAAATAATGGCAATCTCGCAATATTGTTTAGAGCGAGGGTTAGAGTCATGCCGCAAAGACGAGAGATTCTCGTCTCGAGGCTGTTTTTTTTTCCTCGAGAAAACACTTCCAGGCGAGAACGAGAATATTTCGTCCCATCCACAATTTCTTTAGAGCAATAAATCGATATGTATGGCTTTTCAAATGCTTGAAATATTTATGTGGGACAGCCATATTTTGCAAAATAATTTTGCCTCAGATCAAAACAACAATAAGTTCTCAATTATTAGAAAGTCGCCCTTTCTCCAATTGTAATTGTATTTTGATCGAAATTCCATAATATAAATCATTGTTGTCGTGCTTCTAATGACTGGGCAAGTTTAAATCGAGCAGGGCGAGGCATAATACCTGTAGCCTCATCGTCTCCTTTCTCATTGCTTATCTGAGTGATTTCAAATAATGATTCCAAGATGATTCCAATCGGTATAGGTAGAAAAAAAGCATGTTCACCTAAAAATAAGGGTCAATCATGAAACAATTTGAGATACCTAGGTAATTTGATATCTACCCTGTCTACACCAATTTGAAGATGGCATTATTTTCGACTATAATAATAATAATTTTGGTTATTTACTTGTTCCATTTTCCCATAATTTATACGGATCTACGATTTATATCACTATACTTAATTTTAGAGATGGGTACCTGTCCACACCACTAAACAATCTCAATATTTTGCAGTATTTTCTGTATAAGGTAAAATACACGTTTTTTATATTGAATTTAGGGAGAGTGGCAAGGTTTTTTTTTTGTATATTCTTCACGTCTGGCTGGTAGATAAGTGAGGCTTCTTTTCTAAACATATTTAGATATATTTTATTCAGAACAGTAATACAAAATTCACACTATTACATCACTCCGAATAGTTGTATTAAGTTAGATTACATTAATGGAACGGAGGTGGCGCAGATGCGTCCTATATCACTGCAACTTTGTCAGATTTATTGTGGTATCTCCTGTCTGACCTTAGAGTGCGTTGTTCAGACCCGTCCTTCTGATAAGACTCCAGAGCCGTGGAACTGGCCACTCCATATAGCTTGCTGGTTTGGGCTTTCCTCAACAAGCATAACACTTCGCAATGGCACCACACATGTACGGCATACTTTCTTCCGCCTCCTGGCAGAACCTGCATAGAATATCTTCTGCCAGGCTCATTCTTTCCAGGTGGTTATTGAGTCTCAATGCCCTGTCAATTGAACTACCATTATCTTTAAAACCTGCCGTGGCTTAGTAGGTTCGATGTGAACTTGGGCTGGAATCCAGTTCTTGATACATGTTTTGAAGAGGCATGTTAAGTCTTCAGGCTCTTCATTGTCTAGGTTTCCCTCATGGCCTGGTACCCACGCTACAGTAAGTATGCTGGACAAGCCCACCTCCTCTAGGGCATGTATGCAGTCCCTGGCCAGTTTAGAGCTGAGCTTCTGGGAGCTGATTGCCTTTAGGGCCGCTTGACTGTGCGAGTAAATGACAATGTTTTTACTCTTTTGTATTAAGTCAAACTGGTCGCAGAACTATATCATTATGACTGATCGCCTGTCCATTTCAAAAATTCTTCCGCATCGTCCGCAAGTCGTGACCACTCGTAACTGCTCATATACCAATTCAAGCCATCTCTGATTGTCTCGATAATTCTTTACCAGAATTCTCTGATAAAATTTCGATCGATAACAATTCACCAGGCTATTTCTTCAAGGGCGAACTCTATCGTCAAAAATCCCAGTCACCGGGTCGATCAATAAACACGACATATGAAATCAAAGCTATTTTTGTGGAAATAGTGAAAATCACTGGGGCTTTCATGGCAGTCATCAGCCACGACAGAAACCGCTCAACTCAGTCGTTGTAAATGCACAATTTTCAAGTAGGTAATTGATGTTTGTCCTTATAAATTTCTTCATAAAACTGTAAAATTAAATTCAAAATAACTCAACGCCAACGATACAAAACAAACCCCTCCTATTGTCGAAAACGTTTCCTGAAATCAAATCATAAAAAGCCAGCAAAAGAAACCCCTTCAAAATAACGCCTAGGGTAATGCCAAAACCATTTCTCTGATTCAGTGTTGCTTTTTGTTTCGGATTTTTTGCCGAATGTGGCCGAGTTATTGAACGTAGCGGTTTAACAAACCTTGAGCTGCAAAAACCAAGGATAAAATTCGAGGGCCTCCAGGGCTGCAGCGCTTTCAGGAACACCGTTAAAACAGAAACATGTTGAATATTGGCTATTAAGTGGAGCAATGTTGAAGTTCTGAGAATAAATTTTTTGACCTAAAATAGGGCATGACGGGCAAGCTCGTATTCCTCGAAGAGTCATTATGTCGGAATCAAACGCGTCTCACTCAACACGAAACCCCATACTTATGCTGGGGACGCAGGTCATTAACATTCCAAACAACAACGTATAATCCTAAATTAAAACCCAAAAAAAAATGATAGGACTCTAGACTCTCCATCCTAAATAACTTAAATAATTCTTTAGAAAAATACTTTTTAAGACACGACATTGCTGGTTTTGAGAATTAGTTTTTTGTTGCATTTTTTTAGTTGACTGCTACAAGAGAGGAATTTTATGTGTTGTTTCTTCATAATTTATCTGACTCCATTAATTATTTGCTGACTCAATCATTGGTAAGCAGTAGGTAGCTTGTTCTAGTTCTAGAAATTTTGAAAATGAACATTTTCTACGTCACTGTCTATTTCATATAAAAAATAATATTGGAAACACATTTCGCATAAATTCTTATTGTTTCTCATTTTTATATACCCTTATTCATGCAAAACGTTTCTCCCTTCGTTATGCTCCATTGTCTGATTTTGTTGCAAACCCTGCCTTGGCTCTCTATTTGTTTATGCAATTAATTGATACTTCTCACATGCTAGACGTGTTTATTTTTGATTACGTTGTATAAATTGGTTCAGTGCTCCATGTTGATTTGCCATTACTCCTCGTTTTCCGATCCGTGCGCCTGTATGCTATATTTGTCAAAATTAATTTTGAAATGTAAAGCTGATGAGGAAATTTAACTAATCCGCAGTTCTGTAGTTCAGTTTAAAAGAAAAGTTTCACCTCTCGTAGGTATTAGCCAGTAATTAAGTCACATTATTTTCCAAGGATCGAGAACTAAAATCAGATACTGTAGCGGGCTATAAATAAGATTTTATCAGTTTTAGAAGGCGATCGAAATACCGGGCCTAGGTACAACCGTTTTTCGAAAGAGAGGCAGCTTGTTAGTAGGTAGTTTCGTCTCTAATGAAGGGTAGTTTACGGAAATTTATGAGGGACAATTTATTAAAGATCGTGATTTCATTCTAGGCTGCTCCTTTTAATAAGATAATTTATATTTAAAATCGTGCGGACCTGGCTGCAGGTTGTAGACCGAGGCGCATATAGCTGCTAACTCGGAGAGGCGATGCTCATTTATTTAATTATTTTCTTAATTAAAAATGAACGATGAAGATAATGGTTTCCTTTCTAAGAAACCGGATGAGTTACTGTGTGTTTTGACATTAACGTAGTTAATTATACGACCAACAACAAGACCTGCTGCTTAGTGAGATTTTTCGGTAATGGGTAATGCAAGAAGTAACTGTAGAATGATCTTAGTCCTTGATATAGAAATTTCACCACACACATAGTTATCCTAGATTCACATGAAATACGCAACATGTTCCGCCACTGCATCTAAACCCACCCGGAATGAAACAATCCTCGCCAAAGCGGTTTTTACGCACCGTGTTTATTTTGTACGTCAGCTGCCTAACTACGAATATCGAGGTGTTTGGCAACATAAATTGTTCCGACAATAGCTGTTTCATATAAACGGATTATCATTCGCCATTGTTAATTTTGGACAATGATGATGGGGTAGGAGCGAAAGGAGTTGGAGGCACAAAGAGGCTTTTTATTGGATTTGACCTGTCAGTAATCAGTCTAATGATTAGATGGATTTATAAACTTGGGTTATTCTACTGCGACTGCGCCTAGTAATAGAAATCCAACGTATATCTAGCTCTATTATATTTTTCCTGCTTTTGCATCTGGGGCGACTGTCTGTCCCGCACACATACAATCAAACGCTACCCAGGGGTTGCAGCAGAATAAAATTTGAATTTCAAGTCTTTCATGGCTTTGTATATAATAATTTTTGTTTTCCTACGGAATACGAAATGTCTATAGTCTTACCCTTCTTGTAAAATAAATGGTAGAGAAAAGAAAGCTGACATGTCATGAATAATAAAAAGAGAAAAATTTAGCTACAGTATTTGAATTTGCTATAAAACAATGTTATTCAATTTTACACCACTACTATACAAATAACTGAATTATTCCTTTACCTACGTGTCTTGTCTAGAAAAAAATACCATTTTTAGTTTAACAAGCATTTTTGTTGGATATTAATAATAGGTACATTTTTTAGGTTTGAATTTGTAATTCCACTCGTGAATAGTTAAAATCTATGTTTTTACCTACGAAGATTTACTTCCTTGAATCAATTTATTCAAGCCTGATTTATGTGTCTAATTTAATTAGATCAAGGTAGTTTTCAACCTCCTATTAGAATTTCAAGATTCTGCATGCACCTACTAACAATTTTACACTGCATTTATTATTTTTATTTTTATAAGTTTGTCATCATATTATTCACTATCTTGATCATCATCTAATTTTTTATTCATCATCACCTCATTTTACCCTACGGAACACACATTATTATTTTGAAATAATATTTTTTACGTAACCATATTGATTTTGATATAATCCATCGTTGGTAGCTATAATAGTGTGGTGACAACTTTAAAGGGAACCTAACCGTAGTTTGTGATTTGGCTTACTAACAAAATTAAAAACACACGACTAAATTCCAAAAATAATTCCAGAACGTCTATGAAGATGGCTGCTAACGATTTGGATACAGATTCGAACGGAGAATGGTCAAACACTGACGAATCTACTCCGGATTTACATGGACTTGCTTGGGATGCAAAGGTTGTGGTTGTAAAGTACTGAAAAGTAATGGATGTGATGATACCTGAGGTGTCAAAAGATTTCTTGAAAAGGACTATTGTTAAATAAAATGAAGAAATCTTTGGGTTGAACCTGTGATAAAAAATACTCTATTTATTTATTTTTAAGAATGTGTGGATTGTTTGTGAAATAATTGGCTTCTACCTTTGAAAACTTGAATAAAAATCAAATTTTTCAATCAATATTATATAGCTCTCTAAATTTTCAAAAAGCAAATTGAAATGTTTTGTCATTCAAAGCAAATTATAGTTTATCAATAGGTGTATATTTGTCACCATTATTCCGTTGACAAGACCAACATTTCAGTATTTAAATTTTTGTTTTTCCAATTTTAAAATTTAGCCGAATAAATATATGTACCTACTTTTATATTCTTCCATCCTACTGGAAATATTATATTCCATTATTGTGAATATTTTTTAATCAATTTTATGGTTACGTGATTTTAATCACATGAAGTTTTGACCTCAATATCTGATTAAAAAAATGTGAATAAATTTGCAAAGTAATAGTATTCCCTAAATTTTTTAAAATTATTCATGTACCTACTGTATAAATATATCTACATTGTAAATACTATTGTGTATATTAAATAATAATTATTTAAATATTTCAATGGATACTAGCTGTAAATCAGCATTCTGTAACTGTGATAAAAGTAAATAAAAATTTATTTTATTTATGGTAAAAAATATTTGTATTTAATTTATCTAATTCTCCATAGGTGTATTATATTTATTTGCAAGATTTCCTCATATTTTTTCAAAGAATTAGATCAATTATTTATAAATATATTTTTTTTTAAATTTTGTATATACATTATATTTTTGATTTTTGTTTAATTACCATACGAAAATTAATAAAAACTTTAAACAAATTTTAGACTTTTATTCTAGTTTCAGTGGAAGGTAGTGAAAGAAAAAATAATAATAAGAAGGTCTATTAGTTCTAAATTTGCCTTAATAAGTAATCACGAATCATATTTCACAGTAGCTTGACATTTCTGAACTTAAAAGACAAACTATCAAAGTATTAAATTTTTGCAACATATTTTTTTAAAAATATTACTGCATGGACTACACAAAATCAAAAATGCTGTTAGCGGATCAAGTAAATAGACATCAGTCATCAATAATTAGACCAAAATCATAATGTAGGCTCAACTAGAATTTCATGTTATCTAGATTCTGAGACAGAAAAGAAAATTAATTGCAAAAATATATTTTCAGGACAGACAGGTGTCTATTTTTACTGGGTTTGGGCCACACACACTTTCTAACTTAAAATTGCCCAAATAGAGAAAAGGTGTTGCTTTATCTTGGTAAAATCGCAATAATCATTATTTTAAGTGACATCGAATGTCCACTCAATTTATAGAATTTTTTTAAAATTATTCTATTATCTGGTAACGAATAGGATTTGACCAGCAGATTTATTTGACTAGATAGCAAACTTGTAATATCGTATATATCCTATTCAAAATCCGTAGTCCAAAGGTAAAGGTAAATGTATCACCTTTCCCTATCAAATAGCACTGAAAGGTGATAAATTTTACCTTTACCTTTGGACATCGGATTGTGAATAGATGATATATTAGTTTGTTCATTTTCTGAATCCTACATATCTGGTATTCTTTCTTCATAGCATTATTTTTTTTTGTTACAAAGCCACGTCTAGCTTCAAATTTATTTATTTATTTATTTATTTATTTATTTATTTATTTATTTATTTATTTATTTATTTATTTATTGGTAGTAGCAAAGATACAAATTACAAAAGCAATAAATTAAAACTAATAAACTCTGTTGTAAATTACAATATAGTTTTCTCTTACCCATAATTTAGATCTACTTAAGCTACTTTAGTGCACGATAGTACTTATGGTACCGTGTGTGCACTCTTATACTTTAAAGACTATCACCCGAGGTTATATAAATAAGAAAAAAAAATACATAAAATTATATAAATCACAAATCATATGAAAAAATACCCTAATACAAAAACACAAAACTTACAAAAGACACTATTGATGGTATTACATAAAGCAAGAAACAAGAATTTGATATTCAATGTGAAAGTCACTTTGAAGTATCCATAGTTTTATTTCTTTTTTACACTTGTTATAGGGTTGAGTTCTTATGCTAATTGGTAGACTATTTAATATTTTAGGGCCCAAACAATAGATATGAAATTGGCATACGGTATGCTTGGGGGTTTGTCTGGTGACACCTTTTTGGGCAGCATTTCTCGTGTTTATTCAATGATTAATAGCTTCTTTGTAATAAAGCACCTTTAACTTAAACCTCACTATTGATTTTAAGTGAAGCTGTCGTATATCAAACAAGCCACTTTTACTAAATACTAGTTCTGTTGGATATCTTCTATTTTTAAATAACATGATAATGTATTTTTGTGCTACTCGAAGCTTGTTTAAGATTGTCACCCCTGCTCCACCCCAAACAACCAAACCATAGTTCAATACTGACTCGACCAGGGCATAGTATACTGTCCTCAGAATATCCAGAGTAAGGATGTGTCTTAATTCATAAAACTTAAATATCAATTTTCGTACTTTATTAGTAACATATGTAATATGCTTCATGTAAGATTTTCATCTATGTATATTCCTAGGTACTTCAAGTAACCTTTTCTTTCTATTAGTTTTATGCATGAGCATGTTTGGTCCAATATACAGTTGTTTTCATGTAATATCAAATTTTGATAGTTTGGTAAATTGCAAGAGGAAAACGAAAAGGCAACAAATTTGGTTTTTACTACATTTAATGAAAGCAGACTATAATCCATCCATCTCTTAATCCTCTGCAGTGCGAATTCAGCTTTATTCTTTTCTCCCTCCCAGCTGTTCCCCCAAATAATTATTCCAGAGTCATCCGCAAAACAATATACTACTCCCTGATCATCATCTAATACTGATAATATTCCATTTATGCATATATATTGAATAAAAGCGTTGAAAGCACTGTACCCCGCGGCACACCAAACTCCACTTGCAACTGCTCACTCACCTCTCCTGCTATTTTGGTGCATTGCCTACGTTCTAAATATGATTTAATAAGATTATTAGGCATACCCCTTATACCAATAAGATCTAAGCGTTGCAGTAGAATCGGGTGCGCTACAGTGTCAAATGCCTCCTGCAGATCTAAAAAGATGCCAATCACTTTTTGCCTTGATCCAGTTTTTGGAGTACTGATTCAGTGACCTTACAAAGTGCATTCTCAGTACTGGAGCCTTCCCTGAAACCAAACTGATTTTCATGGAGCATTTTTTTTTTCCAAAAATGTTATCATTTTTCCAAAAATGTTATCATTTTGGCCTTTTTCAATAATTTTACTCACTGTGCTCGTTAATGCAATGGGCGTATAATTGTCAATTAATTTTTTGTCTCCTTGTTTAAATAGCTTACTTGTTTCAAGTTGGCTACTAATGTTTAGATAGGCCTGGATAGTCGAAGAGACGAGCTCGAAAGAGTCGAAAGTAAGACAATTTAGAGTAACAGTAAATAAACATTTTATTATTATGTATTTTGATGAGCTGAATCGATATATGCATAAATTTTAACTATTAGCCCTTGGCTTCAGGGTGGAAATCGCATTTAAAGGGTCGAAATTCGAAAAAAGTTTCAAACAAATGTTGTAGCCTGTAAAATTAGACGCAAAAAACCATCAAACATTTTTTCTTTGTTTTCAACAGTTAATCCTCTAGCGAATTTCAAAATTTTCAGCGCCAAAAAGGGATAAAAATGCACGCGGCAACACTGGGAGTGCTTAGTCCGGTGTCTTCAGCGTTCACGCGGTTTCACCGCATCTCATGCGTTAGTTCAGGGAAAATAGGTTTCGATCTCGCATTAAATGATGGGGTTTCAATTTTTTCAAGAATGTCTAGGGGTTGATGTCCCTAACAACGTCTCATAAAGACATAAAGCAAAGACAATACTACTGCGACGTAGTAGTATTGTCTTTGCATAAAGTCCCGTCGATTTCATGCGCCGTGGGGTCACTTTTTTCAGTTCTTGGCTTTTATCTCGAGAATGGTGCGTCTCACAGAAAATTTTATACCCTATTAAATTGAAGCTAATGAAATTTGTCTTATGCCTAATTTGTTTTTGTGTACCTAGGGTTTCACGAGATTCTCGAAATTCGAGATTTCTCGTCTCGTCTCGTCTCGATTTCGAGATGAGATCGAGACGAGACTGAATTTTTTTTTTTTCGAGACGAGATCGAGAAAAACAGTTCGAGATTTTTCGAGATCGAGAAATTTTTTCGAGATTTCTCGATCTCGAAAAAATGTAGGTGCTGCAATACCTAAAGCACAGACAACTCTTACTAGGACAGAAAAACGAAAATAAAGACTATGTTAGGGAATACGAAATAATTTTAATTGATTTTAAACATAAGAAAATTAACAAAACATAAAAGAAAAACAAAGATAACAAAGCAAATAACAAAAGCAAAAAATTAATATTTCCATATTCTTAAAAAAAAAATGTTAATCCAAAATGATAATCCAAGATATGTTAGCCCAAGCTAATATACAGGGTGTCCCACGAGGTTTTTCCCAAATGATAACTTCGGTACGCATCATCGTATACAGTAAGGGGCAAGCTACTAGGTATATAGGATGTAACCTGACGAATTTGCAGGCGTCCGCATGTCAGAAAATGACAAATCGATTTAGCGCTAACCTGGCGACAACCAAGTAAAAAGTTTCTAGGGTTGTTAATAATTTTCAAAAATACGGTTGTGTTTCTCCCTGAAACCAAACGAAATGACGTCCCGGAAAATAATGAGGATCAAGAAGCCAAATAAATTATGTTGTTGGTTGTTGGCATTAGTTAACAAAACTTCAACTATTTCGACTCGTGCGCTTGCGCAGGATATTGACTCAAGTACAAGGACGGTTAGGAGCCACAGAAAAAAAAAAGTATCGTTCGTACAAAGTAAGAAACTCCCAAAAAATTGATCCTGAGGACAACATCAGGCGAATGGATTTTTGTGAAACTGTCATTAATAAGGCAAATGAAAATCAAGATTTTCTTAGAAAAATTGTCTTTACAGATGAGTCGACATTTCAACTCCATGGTCGACATAATCCTAGTCACACCCGTTATTGGTCTAAGGAGAATTTACACAGGTATTTTGAGCTTAGAGCCCAGCGTCGTCAAAAGGTAACTGTCTGGAGCGGTTTGTGTGGATAACATATTATTGGGCCGTACTTCATGGACGCTAACTTAACTGGTCCAAAATATTTGGATCTTTTGCAACGGGCCAACGGCAGATAATTCCAGAAATTGAAAGATTATCTGGTCCTATAGATTTAATGAAATATGGTATCAATAAGATGGATGTCCAGCCCATAATACGGGTTTCATTCTGGACCACTTGAATAATACTTTTCCGAACCGTCTCATTGCTGGGTCGAGAGCTACAATACTGTGACGCTCTCCCGATCTTGCACCCAACGATTATTTTCTCTGGGGTTATTGCAAATCAAAAATGTATGGTTTGCAGGAGAATCGCGCCGTGAACCTTGAGCAGCTGCGTTTCAAAATTCGAGAAATATATCTAACTGTCACCCCTGTGAGCTAAATAATATTCGTAGAGCCTTCTATGATCGTTTAGGTCATTGTTTAGTTCAAGAAGGTGGACTGGGACTGTTTGAACATTTGCTACATTGTAGTGCAAA